CTTTTACAGATGAAACTGGAGTTCTGATAGTTTCAAAAGTCCTACAGGGATAACTACATAAATGAGCCTTTTACATTTTTTAAATTTTTCTCGCTACGCCAGGTACTCTATTTCTATTCAGGATTGTAGTGCTTTTCTCGTATGGTTTGGTCGACCCGGGGCAACCGAATTGCCCCAGGTTTTTGGGTTTTTGGCATCTCAATCAAGCCATTCTAATTTGTCAACTTTGGGGGATTGGGATCTCAATAGGGAATTGATTCTCAGCTTGAATTGCCAAATGTTCTTTCACATAATTACCACAATGGTGGAAAAGTTCTCGATTTTTCTCTTTCAGAGGTCTAATTCAGAGCTCTCACATGCGTGAAAATTTGAAGTAATTTGCCTTTTCCCTTTTCTGGTTCTTGCTCTAGCTTTTTTCTGGTATACAGACTTTATGACCTTCCAATCGCTCCGATTCTTGTCAGGCCAGACTCACCTTTACGTCTAGCCTCACCTGTGAGTTCTGTATCAAACAAAGCTGAATTCGGTTAGCCTACAATGAGCTGTCCTTAACAATAGGATTACTTACTGGTACAGATTAATCCCCATCACTTACCTTCTTAAAATAGCATGCCATTTTTGTCTGTGACGCAGTGAAGACCGATATGGCGATCTATTTGGGCCCATCTGAGTGTCCTATTAATCTATGATTAAAATAACTTGCAATTATACCTGAAAAAGGGGGTTGATACGGGTTCCTGAACCGAAAGATTAGCCTTCGCTTAGTAGAACGTAATACGTCATTACTTGGTACCTGATACGATTACGAAAAATATTACTATTTAGGAAACAATGGCTGTCACTTGTTCATGGTGCAAGGAGTCGTATCATTTGAAACATTGTTTCAATCGCGAGAAACTTGAAGAAAGGTTAGCGTCAGAGTAGTTTTACTTTTTCCCAAAAGGAATTTGATGTGTAAAGTATGAGATGATAATTTGTCGTGATTCTAATAAATTTCGTTATCTATTGAAGGCTAAGAAAATTTTTCATACAGCTTCAACGGACATATTTATGAGGAAACACTGGTCATAAGCAATGCAACTTTCCATATGTTCGATTCTCAGTGATAATTTTTGATGATATTCATTGATAATTTTTTGCTGTAACTCATTATTTCACAGAAATAATCAAAAATATGGTAATAGTCGTTTGAGGAGGAAGATATAAGTGTATTGCCATTCTTGTTCATGTTTTTTGGTAGTTGATCATAGTGAACTGATCGTAAGAGGGAAGTGTTCATAAGCAGTTTCGTGACTCGGAAGAAATTGAATCGATAAATAAGTTTTTTTTTTCAAGATATCGAATGTTTATTGAATTCTATTGATCATAACAGAAAATACTCCAACATTTAGTGAAAATAATGGTGGAGAGGACTTTCATTTGCCTTTAATGAAAGTTCGGGCAATAGTAAAGACTTACTTGCAGATGCCATCGTGGACAATTACGTGAATTGGTGGTACCACCGAATTGGATTCTTCGCCTTCCGAATCGCCATCGGAACAAACATAAGCAACTATCGAATAGGGAAAGCAAGAGGGTAGGTTTCTTCTGTTAGATACCATGATTTGTGCATAGCGACGATTGTACTGTTTCCATTACAATACCTTGCGTTGAGCGTGCTTCGATCGTTGTTCAAATATTGTGTAGCGATGAAATTGGGTTGAAAGTACGGTTTTCTCCCAGTTTCATCAATATTCGATTACAGCCTACACGACAGTTCGTGGTGAAGCCAAACGATTGGTCAGGAGGTCCCTCGCAACCTCTTATCGTGTTCGTTAATCCAAAATCAGGAGGAAATAAGGTCAGTGAAATCGCTATCTCGTTTGAGTGGTTTCCGATGAGATCTGGATAGATTTCTGAGGATTGACTGTAACAAGCTGAAATCGCCTGGAACGACTCGCATGGCAGTCGTAGAGCCCCACATTTTGAAAGAAAAAATTTGTAGCATAGTATTATGACTGGTGTAACTGCGGAGTTGGAGTAAAGCTCCTGATTTGAAGCCCGACTTGCCAAGGAATCCAAATTCATCAATGCCTGGGAAGATCAACTTTACCGAGTTTGTGGAATTTTTTTCTAATATTTTTCGCAATGCCTGATATAGACAAAAGGGGAGAATCAAGCTATTCTACCGAGAGTGAAAATTGAAAAAAGTTAGTTTTGATGAGGGAAGTACGTAGGGGATCACGTGCTGAAAATTCAACAGGGATGCTTTTCCGTGAATTTGCTGAGTGGTTTCCTGAATTTTATTCTCTGAGCTATATACCACATTAATATCCTTAAGTATTACGTGTTGTGCTATATCATTTTGATTCTTCATGATTTGATATCTACGATAACCAATAGGTAACCCTGTTCGAGGTCGTATCCAGAACTTCAAAAGAGAACTTGACTAACA